TGTTTATTTACCTTTCAGGGGGAAAACTAGGAGAGAAGACTCAACGGCCACAAACAAAATTTGTCAAGAACTATTCTGAATTGGCCAGGTTGACGGAAGATTCAACGATTTCAATCACATCTCTCACTCCCTTTGGTGACGAGGTTCTCCAAGTGAAATACAATGATCACGAAGATATGGATGAGAGTTATCCGACTACCAGCCTTATTTCAGCTTGTTTCACAACGATGCATGGCCGTCTCTGCCTACTGGAATACCTAGACATGGTGGGAGACAGAGCACTTTATCACGATACAGGTTAGTTAACTCATTAATAAAAGTTTCTTATTAAAAATGCCTGATTGTATGAGATTATTTTTTACACTACTAACCTCTTGTTGTTGTGTCGATTTGCAGATTCCATTTGTTTCATCTCAAGAAAAAACCTTCCACAGCCGAAGTTGGGAAATTTCCTTGGTGACTTGACGGATCAGTTGCAAGAGGACTATGGTGAAGGCAGCTTTTGCACCCACTTTTGCTCTGCAGGGGCAAAAAATTATGCTTTAAAGGTGGCCGTTGGTGGGGATGTGAATAATATCAAGACTATTGTAAAGGTTAGGGGGCTATCAATTAATTCCTCTTCAAGTGACATAATAACATTTGAGAGGTTAAGAGCCATGATAAGGGGAGAGTATGACAGGACAATTGTCAACATACCTGCTCAGATCACCAGAATGCCTCGATTTCGTATCATTACGAGACCGTCGCATAAGACTTGGCGTGTGTGCCTTACGAAGAGACGACGTGTAGAAAATAAAACTGTTCCGTACGGTTTTAAAGGTCAGCTCCTCGATAGCGACGACTATGATTGTTGCTTGGCTATGGATGAGATTTTAGCAGAGAACGCAATGGATACGATGTGAAATCACCTCTGTATTGACATCGTTTGAAATTTCTGTAAATAAACATGTATTTTATAGTTTGAAAGAAACCAATATAGAATCACAATAAAAAACAATTGACAATATGAATGTGAATCTTACCTCGCCCTCTCATCTCCTCATACCAGCCTCTGCATTGTGCTGACCTCTGGCGGCGTTCTCACGAAACTCGTCACTACTTCTGCTGTGGGGAGGGGGAGGGAAGAACACTGGCACAAACACTCTCGCGCAGACGGTATAACCTATAACAAAAAACATCGAATAAATACTCTTTACTTGCGCTCAGCTCGACACTCGCGATTGAACCGTCTTCCCGTAAAGATGGATATTCGCTTCCAGCATCCAGCGAATACTTTGCTCGTTGGGGGGTCAGGGTCAGGCAAAACGACCCTCATGATAAAAATAGTCAAAGCTCGAGATGTTATGTTTAATGTAAAGTTTGTCGAAGTTATTTGGCATTACATGGAATGGCAGTCAAGTTACAAAGAATTAGCAGACAGCGATAAAAAAGTGACGTTTGTGGAGGGCGCCCCGACTTTGGATCAATTTCCCGCAAATGAGGGTCCTAAATTATTGATTTGTGATGATTTTATGGATCAACTGAAAGACCCCCAATTTTTAAAATTGGCTATCAAAGGTTCACATCATCGTAATTTGAGTTTCTGGCTGCTCTCGCAATGCATTTTCCCGAAAAACATGAGGGAAATCAGTCTACAATCGCATTATACAATTTTGATGAAGACTGCAAGAGACTTACAGCAGGTACGAAGTTTTGTGATCCAAATAGACCCGCTTCACTGGCGCTCTCTCATAGAGGCATGGACTGATGCTACGAGGCAAGCAGGGTATACATACCTTCTGTTCGATTTCCACGTGACCCAAGCGGAACATTTGAGGTTACGGACGGCCATCCTCCCGAATGAGCCGACGGTCGTGTACGTGCCGAAAGGGAAGTATAAGAGCGATCTTATTCATAAATGAGATCATTCTTTCGTCGTCTCTCGAGCGGTGAAGATGCCTCGACGTACACATGCTTCCTGTCACAACGAGATTTTGAAAGTATTAGGAAAAGTGAATCCCGCTACGCGGAAAGCCATTCTGGAAAAGGCGGACAAGGCCCTCATTTACTCACTGTGCGAGTTGTGTGACAACACCCTCGCCGGTAATATTCGTCTATCGCCCTCAGAAAAGCAAAAATTGTCAAAGTATAAACATCTGTTAAGAAACATCGCGCGGCGCGGCGAGTCTTGGAAAAAGAAGAAACAGCTCATAGTACAACGTGGAGGTGCGGGGCCTTTCATCCCCCTACTTTTGAGTATCATTGGCCCTGCCATCGGTAAATTAATTTTCGGAAGCTGAGCGTCGCAACCATGAATCAACTCGAGCACACGAAGAAGCTCGTGCTTATACCGCACGAGAGCCTGGCGAGACTTCAAGATCCTCCGATCGGGCGCACCAGCGGCGAGGCCGCATCCGAGCTGGACACGGACATGGCAAAAATATTATCTCAAAGAGCGGCAGACAGCGATAAATGGCGTTTGTACGAAGAAACGCTACAGCGGTATCTACACTTTGTGAACGAGCAAAAGAAGCCCATCTCCATCCTCAGCGAAAGTTCGAGCGAGAAAGTAGAAGAAGGACAGTCGGAAAACAATATGGAGGTCGTCAAGAGGCGGATTTTGAGTTTAGTTCCAACGAAATCGAAAGATCTCGCCAGTGCGTTCTGTGACTTCCTCGCGGAGCCACGCGTGCAAAATTTTATCAAGTGGGACGAAAGTGGTGCTCTACGTGTAGACGGAGTGAAAATCCCTCAAGCAAACATAGTGGACTTGGTTTCAGATTGTGTGCGCCCCCGCAAGACTGCACACGCTGTCGGATACACCAACTTTTTGACAGCTTTGAGGAAGTTGAATGTGCCCCAAGGTTATATCGTAAATACTGAATATCTCAATTTTTACCGCGACCAATCTGGTTCTGGCCATGAAGAGGACGCGAACTCCACCACCGCCGCCGCCCGCCGCCCGCCGCCGCC